GAAATAAAAATGAAAATTGCGCTATCACGGAAGAAAAAAAGATTCACAGCAAGAAGAGAACCCGCCATGTTTTTCATTTCGGAAGAACAACTGAAAAAAAGCAAACATGTGTGTTGACAGTGAAAAAACCAGTTCAGAGTTCAGATTAAAATTACTCAAGTAAAGTTTTTTAAAAAATTTGAACTTAAATTTATTTTTTTAATACACCAATTTCTGATGAGATAAGGAAGTTTTTTATTTTGACAAGGAAGTAATGAAAAGAATGAAAAATAATTGAAATTAACGACTCCCTTTTTTTGTTCACTACTTGAACATGTTAAAACGACAAAACAAATCTCATTCATTCATAACCATCAGTTTTTTCTTCAGAAAAAACTTAAATATTAGGAGAAATCCCAGAAAGAGATAGTTTCAAATTGAAATTTTAATTTGATTGCCAAATTAATTCACAAAAGGGAAGTAAACTAATAAATCTGTCTAAGGCTTTTAATTGATTGCATAGTTACGCGTACTCTGTCTAAAAGTATGCGTAACTATGCATTCAATTTAACATCATGATATTGTCGGCAGATTGATCATTTTTCTGGAAAGAATTTTTGAATGCACGAACCCTACCGGATGATAACATTACTTGGTAGACTAATAAAGGACAAGAAACTTCAAGTCTGATTCAAAATAAATTTGAAAATCTACTTTTTGTACTATCGAGCAATATATCAAGGCATACTAAATTTCAATATACGTGAGAAACTTGAACTTTTGATTTTAAATTTTGACTGAAACATGATGAATAATTGAGAATTTTAAATCACGTAATCCGGATCTGATGTTCAATGAGGTAAACAAGTTCAAATTAAATTAGGTAGAAAAGGGTTGAAATGAGGTAATGAGATGGAAAGATTCAACCTAATTCAAATTAAATATAACGCATGAAATCTAAGTCACACTGATGTATTAGTGTTTGTGATAGCAGTCACTAAGCCATGAATAGAGCAATGATTAATTCGCAAATATATGTGTGAGTCGGCAAATCAATGCTCTGCTTTTGAGCTAGACAAAGAAAAAAATTTATCACAGAACGATGACAAAATGTTGACCTATTTCTGCATTTAACCATCTATTGAAGAAATTTATTTAAGTTAGTGACATTGGTGCCAGTTGATAGAAGTGTTACTCCATTTTAGCAAATACTTCAAAAAAAATTGAGAATTCACATTTGTTATATGGCCTTAGAAATTTTATATCAAATCCTTTAAAATAGTTAGATAACTTCCAAAGTTAGAGACATTGAAAAACTCAAAAAAAGAGGAAATGAATTTATTCATTTAAAACATTGCGAAAAACTCAAATATACAAGAGGAAATGAAGGAAATTTAAATTGCAACTAGTAAAAGTGTTCCTGTATGCAATAATGTCGCCAATCAATCTCAAAATTTTTTTTTTGACTGATAAAATCACTTGCCTAAAGTCTTTTTCCTTCCTGCTTAACAAATTTAGTCTAATATAACTGGTTAAGAATAACTGATTTAAAAATAATGCTTAGACAGAGAAAAGAAAGTCTAACAACAAATTTCCTGCTGAAAAAGAAAGAAAAATTGCCGTTCTCCAAATTACTGCTTTTTTATTGTGCAGCAGCAAAAAAATAACAAACCAATTTCTGAAAATTTAAATAACCTTACCTTTAAAAAACCTTTTAAGAAAAAGTACTAAGACATTAGAGCAAACCTTGTTTTCAGTAATAAGAAGGATGAGTCATTTAAATCACCCACTTATACTTTTCATCTTAAAACATAAGCTTCATTTCACGGAAAAAATTAAAACCTATTTTACATTACTCAAAAATCGATGGCTACTACTCCTCTCTAACGATAATGAAATTTGTGTTGAGTCTGATTTAACATTTCATTACGGCTACGGTATGTATGTTGTAAAGGTTTTGTAGATTGATTGTTGTTGATTCACAAATTATTTGTTAAGATTTATTTTATAGTTGGGAATTTTGTTTGAACAATTCTAGCATCAATAGATTTGAAATGAGCAGTAGAAAAATTTGATAATTGTTCCAATAGGGACGAATAAGGCGCATGGGTGATGAAATAAATAAAAAAAAGCCTTGGTCCGTATATTTGACTTTTATATACCCAATATGGACGGTACCAGGATAGTGGATAATAGATAACTCCAGGGTTAGACAATATCATGTTGAGGAAGGATGAAGCGATGACATAGCTACGTATTTAAAGCAATAATTCTCAACGACATTATAGAAACACAAGGAAATCATATGACAATTAAATTTAACAAAAACAAAAATTGTGAAACACAACCTCTTCAGCCCAACCATCAGTGAGACAATTCATGTGAATAATTTTATATCACAAAATTTCGGATTTCCGACAATATGCTTCTACGATCAATAGAGACCTTTTATGAATAGAACCAAGGGTAGAGCACAGAACAGCGGAGTTGAGACTAATAAAAAATGGAATCAGCATTAGCCAAAAAGCCTTCCTCACTTAAAGTACAAAAACCACTCAGCTAAAAATAATCTGTCGAACAAAATCAATCAGACGAGAAATAAAACAGAGTCAGTCGTTTTTTAAACTAAACTCGGCACAATAAAAAAAATTATAAGAGCAAAGGAATGACAACAAACATACAGTAAGCAAACAATAATTATCTAATCGAAAAGCTTCGTTATTCGATTTTTTGCTTCCTTCAGACGGCTGGCTTTCATGGTAACAGTACTCTTCGAATCAGTTGATGTAGCAAAGGCACCAAGTACATGCACTTGCTTTCCATTTGTTCGTACAAAGCTAGACAATCGTGGCCCCAAATCATAAATATTTTCAGATGACCGAGAAACATCCTAGAAAACAAGGCAATGGAAATAATCTCAAATTTGTTTTCAAATAATAATAATATCTCACCTTTTAAGTAAACATAAACCGCTCATTCTCTTTATATTATTTACATCTCTTCGTAATGCCTTGATCAAAACAACGCCTGCGGTAGAAACTGCAGTATACATTTATATCTAAGTTTCTTATAATTTTTATATTCATGATATCATTTATTTTTCATCTGGTATTTTATTTAAAATGTGTGCGATAAGAAAAAATTTAACATCCCCTATGTGGTACGAAAAAAGTAATTAATTTTATCAATATATAGATTGATGAATAGCTTAATAGATGACACTATAAGCCTCCTTTAAGAAACCGCTGACATTCTGCTTACTTGGTTAACAGAAATCCTAGAGTACTAGAATACACAATCAGCTGAATAGCCCTACAGAAGAAGTATTGCACATAATGAAAGCAAAAATTCGAAGTAAAGAGAACTAAAAAACAAAACAAACTAATCTGCAAATTGATTACATTAAAGATCAAAAAAAGTTCCTAACTGTCAATCCTCTCAATTTGAAAAACTGAAATAAAACCATCCTTGTTAAGCAAAACATAGAATTTTCAATTAGAAAGTACCGTCCTCAGTACTATTATCCCGTTCTTTAAATCTCAAGTTTCACTTCTGTTTTTCCCAATTCTTTACACAGGTACCAATAGTTACCTCATTAAGTGCCTCCTATCGCAATACATACACATCTTTCACCCCTAAGATATCATTTTTTAAGGAGACAACAGTCACCAACAGTCGTCTAGGCATAATTAAAAACGTATGAAATTAATTTTGCATCATTAATGAAAACTATCACCCACCGAGTTCGATCGTTTATGTCGATAAGCATATACAGATATAAGCGGATACGGCAAGAACCCAATCATTTTTGGAAAAACCGTAAACGAAACTTGTCCTAGACCGCTCTCTTTTACATGTAATACTGCAAGATAATTAAAAATGGAAGAAAATAGTAGAAAAAGAAAGAATTAATTGCAGAATTCCTTGTTTCTTTTAAATTCATAAAATCAACGATTTTGAAACTTCAGTTACGGATTATTGAACACCAATTAAGAATATTTTCAAAAGTTCAAAGCGATTAATAAAAATTACAAAAACCCTCATTACGAACTTGACATAGAAGATGAAGCTTGGAAAATGAAAAAAAAGTAAAAAGAAACGAATAAAGGAAGTATAATAAAAGGAAGTAAGAGGTAAACATTTCCATTTTGTTGTAAAAATCCTTCTGAAAAAGTAAAAAATTCGGTCAAAAATCTGAAATATACCTAAATATGAAATCTGATCTTAAAAGTTAAATCAAAACATTAAACCGAAAAAACCACAATATAAAAGTGCGCCTTACATTTATGCTTTTCACTGATAGTCCAAAAGTACGGATCAGCATCAATACTGACAACTACTCTTTCAACGCGATTTGTTAAACTTCGCAATGAAACTATCATATCACATGCATCTTCAACACGACAAAGAACTGCACCTGGTTGTGATGAAAGCAGTTGTGCACAAAGTTCATAATCTGGCTAAAAACACAGTTTACAGAACTTAAAAAATAAATTCCGAGTCAAATTCCATCAGTTTTAAGAAGTGTTCGCAGCATTCCATTTACAAAACATTTGGAAAAAAAAAACAGACATGACTATATGAAGTTTATTCCTTTCTCCTGAACTGTCATTTTATTTTCCTAACAAGTTTAAATAATTCTTCTTATTACAAGGATTCCAAATTTTGAAGGCTGTTTGACGTGTTAAGGAAAATCAGGAGAATTTTAAACTGATAAAAGCAACTAACTGTCTTGCATTGTACAGAGAATTCATCAGATAGTGTATATTCGCGGTCATAAATTAATTCTTCCTCATTAGTATATCCGCTTAATGATTTCACTCGATATATAAACCGTAGTTCATAATGCTCAACTTCATCTGTTTTTCCTTTATTTGATGGTAGAATCCAGACTAAACGGTATTTACATCCTGGTTGTATGTACTGCAAAAGAAATACATTTTTTATTTTGCGATATACCAAATCTAACTTAATAGGTCAAGCCTCAGCATATCAGTGTTAAAATTCGAACAATATCAAATTCCCAATCCAAATGCACAGAATTAAAAAATTTATATTTTCCATACGTAATTACTTGAGACTTATACAATATCCACATAAAATGGTAATAATAATTCTGTAGATGACTTGTTGAAAGCTAAAATTTTAAATGTAGAAATCCGATTAAAGCAATTTAAATAAATTAATGAATACATGAAGCAATTACTGAAGTCCTGAAATATGCAGAAGAAAGTTTCGACTTACCGTGAGTTTGGGATTTAGCAATTTCGCCGGCATTTCAGGTGACTTGTCAACTTTCCTGCTTAATATAGCTTCTTGAGGCATAATCAACCACTCATCAATGTTTCGCAACATTACTAGTTCGAAAAGAACTCTGAAAAGCTTCATTAAAATGTTAATGAAAGTAATTTAATAATGTTCATAGATAAAAGCACAATTACAAACCAAATTTAAAGCTCTACTTTAAAATTCGTGACAAAAGAAAAAAATTTAACCTTTCTTCCAATAAAGAAGTATCGCTATCAATATTCATAAAAGGTACAAAATTAATCGTAAAGTTCCATTCTTTATCCATCCATTTTACCAAAATCTGAACTGAATTAAGTAAATTTTTCCATGAAAGAGCTCCACAAAAAAAAATCATTCCTACAATGAATTCAGTTTATTCCAGTGAAGCTATTATTACTATTATTCCCACAGAAAATATGATAGCTTGATCAAAGAATATTTTTAACTGGAAATTATTTTCAGATCATTATAAACTATAAAAAAATACCTGTGCAGCACAGGTCAACAATCGATCTTTTGCATTTTTTTCATTGCTTGAAAGATTGCGAAGAATTTTACATAAATGAACAGTGATAGTTTTATTATTTCCAGAAGGTACACGATCCAACGAATAATTACAGATTTCAGACCATTTCGATCTGGATATATCCTGGGAAATGAAAAGTCAAATTGGAACAAGCGAAAGAAAGAAGAAAGAAAGAAGAAAGAAAGAAGAAAGAAAGAAAGAAAAAAAAGATGTATATTTTAAAGATGTATATTCTGCGAATCATTTCAAATAAGTTAGCTGTGAATTCCTCCTTCTTTCCTCTACAATAATTGAAATTGTAAATAAAAATGCAGGGAATAAACTTAAAAGAATTCACAAAGATGCAAAAAATTAGCGAAAATTTGAAGTGTAAGAATAAAGAAACGATATTAATTAAGAGTTATGGCATTAAAATAACGATATCCCCCACATACCTTAGAAGAGTTGAACTAAGTAATCGTTAAAGTTCTTCTGCGACATAAATTCAAAAAAAAAAATCCCAGATAAAGCAAAATTTGGAGTTTTAATTGTTATCATTTTGCAAAATAATCATACCCAAAATTCTAAATCGCTCCCAGTAGGACAAGTCAACTGCAGCACTGAGTTTTCATCATTTATCGATCCTCCATAGAAAATCTCTAATTCGACATATTGTGCCACACCGGCTATCAGTGTACCATCTATAATAACACAAAATTTGATAACACTATTATAAATTCCTCACCTAGTTCAATTTGAACGAACAGTCATCCATTCTACATATAACTTTTAATGATTTTTTAAGCAGTGCTTGAAAAAAAAAAGCTTTATAATTAATTTTGATATTTCTAATTTTTTGATACCTCAATAAAAACTGAAAACTTTGATGCCACTTGAAAAAAAATCAGTTCAGCATACAATAAAACCATAATAGTAGGCTATAAAATTTACCTGGTAGTGGCTTCAATTTCACAGAAACCGGTTTATGATGGACGAAACATGTTGGCAGCCGAGCTAAATCCTGTTCGATTTCTTGCACATCTAACCAGTCACAACGCACTATCACTGAACGACCAATCTCCAGCTCGAAGTAATCAAAGACATATGTTCCAGTGCCTTCTGATGCCTGTTCAAAAAAAGTGTCACAATGAATTAAATAAAATTTTGAATAAACCTTCATCCTTGAATAAAGTATAAATCACTCTTCCTTGACTCTAAAGCAATTAAAAGTTGAAATTAAACTTGTCTTTTCTCATTTGAATCATTTGTCGAGTTATCTGTTTTGGATTTTCACCCAAGAAATAAAGAAAAAAGTATATAAAAATAATAAGTAAGTTTAAAAAAATTCAAGACCAAAGTAGATACAAAAAAAACACTTATTCAAATTATAATTATAAAAATCATTAGTAGATACAAAGTAGATACAAAAGTAGATACAAAACACTATCCATTAGTAAATACAAAACACTTATTCCATAACTTAATTATAATTATAAAAACTGAAAATATACCTTGGCAGTCAATGTCAGAATATTTTCACCGGGCTTGAGTTCATTTGTGGTAGAACTTCGGAAAATCAAGCAGCTCTCTGATTCATTAGTCGAATCGATATCACGTCCTGGAAGGGATCCTTTTCTCATCTCAGTATCACCTTTCCAAAGACATGCAAAGCGACTAATACCATCAGCTTCCTAGAATTTATAAAATTCATAATCCTTTCTACTTTATTCTAACATTATGAAATCAGAGGCTATGCTTCAGGATTCATTTAGGAAAGATTATGATCTTTCACGAAAAGAAACTTTATGCAGGATAAGTGAAAAAGTGTCAAAGTACAGCACAGTAAATAACTAGGATTTTTAAGCTGCTAGAGCAATTAGTGCTGAATGTTAGAAATTAAGAAAAAACAATTCAAACCACGAAAACTCTGACCATAGTTAAACTCGTAAATTACAAATTAGTGTATTTCTGGATGTCATCATATCACTGCACAGAATCAGTGGAACGAAACAGGAAATATAGAATTATTTTAGCAAAGAACATACATTGCGCATACATTCAAAGTGTGGTCGTCGCCCAGCAATTCGCTTTTGTGATTCATTTTGAACAAAAAGTTTCATATAGCAGTGCAATTTGAAGTTTTTTAACGATTTCGGAAGACTGCTGGTAACCTTAGCATCAATTTCCACTGTTTCATTCGGTATTGCCACTAAGAAAGGAAACGTAGAATTGAAACCGAAAGAAAAGATCTTATATTGCTTACAAGTTGAGTCTAATCTGCAAATGGATTTATTTGAAAAGAATTTAATATATAGTTTTGCCAATGAAGTGCAATTTTTATACTAGTCACCTTGCTGGTTAAAGCAATAGTTAGTAAATGATCGACAAAACTTTACAAATTTTTGAATTTATAATTAAAACATAATTTCATCAGTATGCAAAAATTCGGTTATTTCAATAAAATTTAATGTGAAAACTTTTCCCCCAGTTGAAAATTTTTAATCTCTCCTCTTCCCCTCAAAAAAAGTTTTAACACTTAAAATTCCTTTAAAGCCACTGTTTTAATTGGATTGCGCAAAAATGGGACCTTATTTTCGTTATATTCGGCCTTTCACACAACTCCAATACTTTATCACAATATTTGACCTGCTCTTTTTCCGTCTTCGCCAATTTCATCAATATCGAATAAAAATCTACAAGCCTAAAATTCCTCTCTCCCAATTATTAAATCTGAAAATAAAAATCTGGATGAGTCAAAAAATTAAAAAAATATAACAAAGCAAAATTTACTCCTTAAAATGGATGCCTGGAAATTTTTCCAAATGATTTACAGTGAAAAGCAGTGTATCTCTAAGCAACAATACTGTTGAACCGTCTGCAATTAAATCGGAAATAAAATTCAATAAATACGGAAGTGCTCCCTCTGCACGATCTGATGATCTGAAAGATTAAAATATAAGTAAACTAGGATTAGATAGTTCACTTACAAACAATTCGTTGCTTTCATGAACACTTTACCAATGCCGTTTTATAATGGGAATTGCTCGATAATAGCTTAATAAAACGAGTTGTATAATATACATGACACTTTCTGCACGATTACACTATGTTTTAAAGTTATAGGCCAAAATAAATTGAGAAACAAGCAAAGAAACAAAGAACTCGAATAATTGACAATGAATATGAACTAGAAAACTCATACAGCAAAAATTTTGCCAACTCCCAGCCAACGGCACGTGCTTCACGCCTCCATCCAAAGTGTTTTAGGAGGGCTATGGAACTTTCATGATATTTCTGCATGTAATGTGTGAACTGTTGCTTATCGGAAAGAAGTTGTCTGCAATAAATTAAAATGCTGGTAAGACTATTATGACATCCCTGTAAATCTAACTGAAGTAAAAATGAATATTCAATAATTACTCCTTAAAAGATTTAAAATCTATTCAGAGGCGATATGAGAATGGAAACAGACAATTTGATTTAATTAATCCCAAATGAAGCATACGAAATAACCCAATCTTTGTGATAACCAGCGAACTTTTTGTGAACAGATCAAATCCTATCCTACCTTATTTCATTGACAGCATTCGTTCTAATCGCTTCTACACCACACCGTGAAATTCCATCTTCAAACCATTTCGCTATCTTTTTCCGATCAACCAAATTCCATCTTTCATTCAGTTTTGACATCTGAGATAGTTCTAGCATTAAAAAAATTATTTTATAATTTGAAAAATTTTACATCTTCCACTCTTTAAGAATTTTAATAAGTTTATAAAGATGATAAAAAATAAAGTCTTATTGACATGAACTTACAGCTTGACAGTTAGCCAATTTGAGGGAACAGGTTAAATGAGCTGCCTGCTCAATGTGTGTTATTTCAGTCAGCAATGATGTCAGCTGCATTATTTCCAAGCAAAATGAAACTATCCAACATTGCATCTCATCGCAATCTAGTGGTATCTGGAAAAACAAACTTGATCAAAACCAAAAACCTAAATTAAAAATTGGCTTCCTGTAAATACAAAACAGTGAGCAAAAAAGCAATACACGTGCAATCTAAGATGGAATAAGCATGTTGAGAACAAATTGAGCAATAAAAATCAAAATAATATTGATTTGGTGATTATACATAAGTAACAATTCACACAACAGAGAGCAGAATAACTTGTTTCTTTCTTCTATTGAAAATACAATTCTCTAAAGTCTACCAACCTTCACTTATACTCATCTACCTTCCCTTTTGCAAGTAAATTTCAATTTAGAAGACATTAAATACCTTGAAAGCTACCATACTTTCGAATATTGCATTTAAGCAATGCAGCGAATAACGCAATAATGTAATAGCAAATTCAGTTTTCAAGTTCTGTGAACTATTATCATCAATTGTGGAAACGCGTTGCAAACGTTCCTCATATATTTGTATTGAATTCTGAAAAAAATTTCAACTATTTTTTTTCAAATTTGCAAATTTAAAAATGATGAAATTCATTAGAGTGAAGCAAACATTCTAGACCTGATTTAAAGCTAAATAAAAACGTTGAGCTATTATTACAAACTGTGACAAATAATGTTTGATACTTCTCTTGACAGCCTTAGAAATAGGGTCGTCATTATTGTATTTCCACGTCTGGAAATTGTAAATAAATTCTAAAATAAAGCTCCAATAGTTATTAATATTTATAAATTCTACCGTTCTTTAATCGATATGAAATATAATAATATAACGCGAATTTATTCACTACACAAAATACTATTTCAATCTCTCGAAAACAATAATTTAGTTACTTTTCTCCAACTCTATTTCCAAAACTAACGAAATGCTTACAATAATTACTTCGAACATAAAAACAACAAAAAAAATTAGTCCAGCTAGGTTGTACCAATATTTGGTGCGCCAAAATGATGTAACGTAGTTCAACAATCGTAATATTATCCCACGGTGTATCACACTTCAACATTGCAACGAAAAGTGGACATCCGGATGATATTGAAGTGAAACATGTTGATGATGTTAACCACTTTGGCGCAGGCCCTACAACAGACATGAAAAGCCATTTGAAGTTTACAAGAATCAACGTATATAACTTTAAAAATGTTATCAATTCGTAATATTCAATATTTTCTAAACTTCGAATTATCCAAATTTAATAGGTAAAAATTCCATTTTCTTTCTTAAATTTAACAAAATTTGGATGCTATAAACTTTTACCTTCTGAAGAATGATAGAGAACAATTAATGACAACGTAGCATCAAGTTCATCAAACAATGCAAGTACCTGCTCATACATGCCCAAACTTTGATAAAGACGAGATAGACTCATCTAAAGCATATGGGTCTGTCCAAAAACGTAATTGTTCTATTATTTAAAAGTTTTGTGCTAATCAGCAGATTTAAAATAACCACTTGGACAAGATTATGTTTACGTTAAAATTACAAAATTATGGATAAGAATACTTCTGTTAGACATCATTATAAAAGATATTAATTGCCTAAGTCAATGTTTTTTTATTGTAGCGTAACGCAAATTAATGATTTTTCACCTATAATCATAAAAAGCACAACTATCTTACTTGATCTCGGCAAAACGTAATGAAATCAAAATTAGAGTCGGAATACTGATCATTTCGATCGGCTAAACTATTTTCCTCATGTGTTACATAACGCTCCAGAGAATTTAGCAGATGTGACTGTATGTTAGTCTGCAATGCGGCTATATTTGACAGATCATAAATTTCAACAATCCTGCAACGTAGAGAAAATTAAGGCAAAAATTATTGTTATAAACAAACCAATTCAATAAAATTTGAAGGAAATCTTTCAGAATGTAAGATACAATGCTACATATTAACATGACATCTACAAATCATGGTTTTAAAACTTGTTATCAATTACTGACTATATACTTCTCTTCTTTTGAAAACCGATTAATTTCTAGACGGAAAACTATTTTTTATACAAATTTACTGTCATAAAATCAAATATCCATCAGCTCTTTAAAAGATTCGCTATGTCAACTAGTTTTTTTTTAATCTACTTTCTCACCAAATTTGTTGTGTATTTATTCAAATAATGTAAAATATAAACAAAAAAATTGGTTGTTTTTCAAGAACTTAAATGTCCAGCATGTGATGGTAGCTAATGTGAGTGAACTCATAGCGCACTGAGTGTCTAATGGTAAGGGCAAGGGATATAAAATAGGGAACATTGGAGAAATTTTAATATATAATTTTGGATAAAAAAACTGCAAGAAAAAATGACAGAAGTTTTAAATCGCAATAAACCTATTTGTAAATTTCGCAAAATCACTTTTGATCCGTTCAATAAGAGCACCACGGTTCTTCTGTTCGCGTGCTTTTAAACTATCGAAAACAATCAACCATTCAGCACCCTCGATTTTATTTAATGTTGCAAACCATTCGCTTATCTCATTTCTATATTCATTTCGATATTCCGCTACTGTCTGAAATATAAATGAAGCGTTCATCAATCATTCCCAGACAATTTAGTTTAGTAACTCTAACCAAGTTTCAGAACATCTTATCGTAACGGAAGTGGTATTATCTTGAAATTTCAAAAAAATAAAAGTCATTTATGATGGTTCAAATTTTACATAAGTAAATAAATACGCTATATGTACAAGCTGAAACAAAAGATAAATCCTCTTCGCATGTTGATAAATAAAGTATTAACTGTATGGGTTGCATCATGCTCGATTTCCCAGTTACAAACTGAGTGCCCGCATAGACAACGAATGAGTCATGGAGAAAATTACTTTCATTTAAATATCATACACGATTACCTTAAATGCTACTCTGTCGGTCAACAATATCTGTACACAGCATTTACCACAATTCAAAAACTTACAGATGGATTTAAGAAAAAGAAATGCAATAGTGATGCTTCCTCCCATGTTTTTGGCTTAACCGATTTATAATTAATTACAGTATCATTTGAAAAAGGAACGAATTCGAAGAAGAAATGCGCATGATACGAGAAAAAATATTGCCGTGGGCTCCTAAAATTGATCAAATTTATTTTTTTTTCTCGAATTTTACGAGTAATAAAGTTTTTTCTTCAGCCTTTTGTTTCAAATTCAATATCACGATAACAAAACTATGCTAGTCCATATTTTTTTATAAGAGCAGAAAATCGATTTTTTATTCAAACGTAAAAGTACTTTTTCAATATATGATTCAAGCACTTTTTCACCTATATTTTCAAATCTCAGATGTTTACAAGTTATAAACTGCTTTTGACAAAATATATACTGAGCTATAAAATTGAGATTGACCACTGAATCTTTTCCCCATTTTTTTAAACTTTATGTTGCCGACAAAAAAATGTGTCAACCTTTTCCATAGAACGACATTTTTATCGAAGAAATTAGCTAATTTTTCGTGGCATATTTTTTGCAAAACTTCGTTTCCACAATCTAAAAGAGATAATTATTAGTTTAAACTACACAATCTATAAGATACTTCCGATGCCTTGATTTTCAATTCATTCTTCTTATCTTAAGAGATGTTTTATCCTTCAAAAAATTCTGTCTCGTAGGAACACAAAGGACAGGAAGTATAGTTTGAAGCCCCATTTGTTAATTATTACGTAAGATAATTTAATGGATAGCCCTAAAATACAGACTCAAGAACTACGATACTTACATGAAAACTTGATAGGTAATCGCTTTTTGACACCAACTACGCTTCTTAAATCCATAATTTCGTTATGATATTCTCTAAAAAAATGAAAATATCACAGTACGTAATCAAGTCACACTTAGAAATTTAAGCTATGCATATTCCCTCATGTCAATTTCCCTATCTTTAGCACAGGGATAACACTCATTCTCTTACATTCCAATGATTTCTCGCATAAATCATACCCTCGCAAATCATGCCAATTAATTTTCTCAATTCTATCCTTATTTCCTCCTTCAATTATGATATTTAAGTGATTTTAGTCTAGCCGATCCAGCGAAAAATCAAATTTATTGCAATCCCCACAATCTTCGTAACCCCTACATCATTCAGGAATAAAAGGCTGGCAAGGCTGCACCACCAAGTATCACTCGTCAATGGCTCGGCCTTTTAGAGGCAAATATTGAAAATTGAAAAGTCGACGTAGGGAAATTCGGGACGACCAAATTTCTTCTGAAAACCGAGTTGCGTAACAGCAGATTGTTTGCTGCATTTTTTGCATTTTAGAAACTTGCGTGAATTATAGTCATAACTGTTTAACTTACTGAGATCATCAATAAAATTCACGTTTCTGTTATGACGATTGATTTCCTTTTGTCTTGTTGATAAGCGGTATTTCGAATTTTTTGTTACTTTTTCGTCAAGACGTCAATGTTTGCTAGTCAAAGAAGATATGATTTCCAAATCAAAATCCGAATTTGATTTATCAAATTATTAGCTATGTTAAAAAATATATTTTTTTCAAAATTTGTGAGAACAAACACCTCGACAAGAAATGAAATACGCCAAATTTGAGTCCAAAAGTTGCATCAAAGCTATCAAGTGATTCTATGTAGCTATACGTCAAAAATTTTAAACCAAATTGAAGTTATTTTTAATTCAATTTTTGGTAAATTAAATGAAATAAAACTTCAGAACGAGAAGTTACCTGTGGAGGAATATCAATTCTCTATGAAATAACTCCCATAGACATTGCAAACATTATCTATCGGTTCCAAATTTCCCGTATTAACAGCAAATATTTCATCCCAGTTGACAAGCTTTAAAATGTGGAATGCAGATTTGAGAGATCCCAATTATAACAAAGAATTTTACACTCTATCAGAATAAAGTCTCGATTTTTAATCAAAAACATCCTACTTTCCACAAATACGAAATTTATAATTCTTTTTCAAATCGCAGTCAAAACCATTGGCACGTACTAGACATGAATTTAGGTATTCCAAAATTTTGAAAATTTCAGTGAATTTTTTAATCATTACTAGTATTAGATAACTAAATAATGCCTTTAATAAATTAAAGAAAAAATTGTAAATCATGTACTTATTTACCTAGATTAAGTATTTTTCATCTGCAAAAGAATTCATAGAACTTGCGCAATATCTTAATATGTTGAAATGATGTTGTACAAGTAATTTTTTCAATTTTTTCATCATTAAATTTAAGATTTTCAGATGTTTCCAACGCTACTTGTGCGTGTTTTATTATTTCTAGCCTCTTGGATCGATGTGACCATTCATAATAAATAAAAGAATCACAAATTCCTTTATTGATTAGGTCTTTCTGTCTCAAGCTAATAAAGTATCATTCATTAAATTTAAATATGAAGCGGCTTATTTGCAAGGTCTCTTTCGTTTGCAGTCCACAATTCTTTTTTGATGTAATGAAAAAATGATGGTGAACAAAAATACTAAGGGTGAGAAAAATTAAATAGTGTAGTTCAAAAATTATTGCAAAAGATGAATTTAAAAAATTGTCGTGAACTACCAATGTTTTAATCTTTTATACATCAATAAATATCACAAAACAAATGAATTTCGACATGATACAAGTTAAATAATCGAGTTTACAATTTATTGAAGGATTTCTGCTGATACGTCGATTCTAACCTGAAAAGACAATAAGATGTGAATAATGACAATTACTACGTGAATTATTGAATTGTAGCAATAAAATATTAGCAATTATAAAGAAGCATCAGCTATGAAATTTTTAATGAAGAAAGCATGAACATAAATTCATGAATGATTATGGAAGTCACCAGATGAAATCACGTTTTTATATAAATGTATCACCAACTGGTTTATTGTAACGGATGTTTGAAAAGTTCAATATAATATTGAAAAATTACAAATCGTCTTAAGATTCATTTTATTTATTGGCATAAACTTGAGGGATAAAAGTATAATAATATCGAGGAAACACTCTGAATTTTAAGACATAACAGTCTAATTTGATTAAATGTACTATTACTTCAATTAAACGTTCAGGTATTACATAAAATTTTGTCTTGATTTCATCATTTGAGAATGTATATTCGGTTGACAATACAGTACTGAAAGAAATTTCGCTCAATAAAAGTCTTGTTTTTCCGAAAAGCAAAGGAAAGAAAATGTTAATTTCCATAGAAATACTGTCGAAACACTGATAGATTAAATTGTTTTCCCAATGCAAAGATGTCTTTATGGACCTACCTACTTTAGGGGTTAATTAAGTGCAACTGAAGCTCTTTAAAAATCATATGTAATTGAAACGGGAAACTAAAAGAAAGATTGAGTTAAGTGCTGTTGTATAAGTGAAAATTAAAAGTTATTTGTATCGCTGATGTTATTATCACAACAATACAATAAGCAGATCTTATAGTTTTATTGATGTTATTGCACTCTCATTCATTCCACAATTAATATAACCATAACAACGAAGTGCAAAAATGCAAATACAAAAGAATTGATAAACAGCTAAAAAATGCTAATTAGTATATGCTATAAGTACCGAATCGCAAGTAATGTTTATTTGATTATTTACCATTCATTTAATTTAAAAAATCAATTGGAGTTTTTATGAGCTAAAACAAAGATCGAAAATGTTCGCTTTTTTCATGCAGAAAGATACTGTCCACAAAGTATATGATATTCGAAGATAAAACTAGTAAATGTGAGATATTGTGAAGAGATCAATCAAAAAGATGTTGCATATCTTATTGGGTTCAACAGTCAATTTTTCGGCAATATTACTTGGGAAAGAAATCAGACATCATCTTTGCTCTCACTCTTTTTTAATTGATTTCTTGAGTTGCTAAATCTCTGTTTATGAGATTCTAAAAAAAATGTAACATATCTGATGTCTGGTCGATATAGTAAATAATATTACGGCCAATTTCAAATGAACTGAAATATGAAATTTTGCTTTTTTTTACTGAAAGTAAACTACTACTCCTGTCATGTTTTTGTACCTCGAAAACATTTGGTAAATTTACCATTTTTGGAAAGTGAATACTCCGGTCGACCAACTAAATATTTCTGATGTTCGTCGTGAAAAATCTTTGATTTGGGACAGCAAATTGATATTCCAGTTAATTATGATTTTTTTCAAAGGAGAGTCGGAGATATTAACAATTAAAGGAGTCCAAAAATGAATACT